AAACATTATTTTATAATTTTTTTTAATAAATAATAATCAACTCACTTGAGGAGTGAGTAAAAGCTCAGAAGTCTTAGAATCTTTGTATAATAAAGATGTCAAAAATTTTTCGATTTCAACACTATTTCATATTAAGAAAAATGTACATTAGTTCATTAGATTAAAAACAAGCTAAGATTAAAAACTCTTTAATTACCAAGATTTCAAAAGCTCTTGTTGTGATTCCCACTCTTGTTCAATTTTATTGAGTGAAGATTTCCTGATATTTTCAATTTCAACGAATCTTTCTTTTAAAGATTCATATGTAGTAAACGGTAAAAGTTTCTCCTCTTTTCCATGACCCGTAACTATTATTGATAATTATAATTGAAATATGCTAATTAAATCCTAAATTCATATATTATATGTATATATATATTACTTACAAAAATCCAAGTTTAATAAATTTTTCAAAGATAATAAAAAATCATCATGACTTTCTATTACAGTTTTACTGATTGAATGTTCTGTAAAATCTGCCCCTGACATAAGGTTCTATTAAAGATTCAATGCAAATCGTTAATAACATAATAAAGGATATTTAAACTCAAAAATAAAGATGCTTTGTGTCAAATGGAAAATATTACCATCCGTTTGCTAATGCTTTCGATCCTTTTTTCTAAATCCTCATTCAAATTTGAAAATAATCTATGAAGTGATTTCTGATTATCCATTTCGACGCAAAAGGTTTGTGCCGTGAATTGATTACGTGAATGCTGTGACAATAACTGATCAATAACCTGAATAAACAAATATAGTTATTTTACAAAAACAATATATATTCAAAAAGCTTCAAGTGAAAGCATCTTTTGACCTACAAAGTCTAATCGATCAATGACGATTCGTTGGGATTGTAACCTAACTTTACAATTGGCCGTCAATATTGGAGATTCGACTTCCAGAAAAGCAAGATTACTTAATGAAGAACTAATTCGCGAGTCCATCACATAATTAATTTGTTTACTAAGTAATGAATTACTATTCGTACTTTTATCGAAATTTGATTTTAAAGCATTAAAGTCAGGAACAAAGGAATCAATTCTCGTAGCTTCATTTTGAATCACTTGCAAAAATGTTGACAAGTATTTGAATTCAGTACAAGATTTTATATATTTGAGCTGTGTCTTTGGATATAAGTTCTTGAGACGTGTGACTTCATCAGTCAAATCATATGATTCGAGTTTTTTCATGATATCCTATATAAAAGAATATTTTAAAAAAATTCCTTGATTGCATTGCTTTCAACATGAAATTTTAAAATACCAATCTCATTTCATTACATTTGAAAAGAGCATCTCACAAAGTTGTTGCAATTCGTGTGTAAATGATTGGTCTATGTTCATTATTTCAGAAATCTCATTTGTACATTGATATATCAAATTCATCTGTTGCTTCCCTAAAAATTCAATAAAGGAATTAGTACGTGATGAAATAAATAATCAAACGCGTGTATTTACCTTTTCCTTCAGATAATTGCCTTTCTGATAATAATTCGGAAATTGTTGTCATCATCGCTGCCGTGTGTATATCAAACTTTAATTAAAAAGAGATAATAAGTATAATCGAATTTAAGTACAAAGGGGAATATGAATTTGAATGACCAAAACCTTAACAGAATCTTGCTCAATTTGCTTGTCTATTTCTTCGTTTTTTTCATCTAAATCACGACTAATTCTTTTTAAATCTGTAAGCTTTCCTTCGATATTTTCTAAATTGGATCTAAAGTTTGACGATCTGATTAGTAAAAAAAAAAAAGCATAAAAATCTATTTAAAATTTTTTAATTACTTGAGTATATCATGATGACGCAATAAATGATCTCGGGTTTGCCGTCCAGAATTGATCTCATTTTCAATGTCTTCTAGTTCCTTTCTAAATAACGAGAAGATCAAAATCATCAAATCCAACAATCACACGCGACTGTAAGAGTAAATTAAATAATATACATACTGTTCCTTCATTAAAATGGAAGGGTTACTGAGAATAATGTCAATTTAACAATACATATTTCTGTTTAATAAACCGAACACAAAAAAAATTTAAATAAAATATTTATATTTAATAACTTACATCCAGTCATCTTTTATGTCAATAACATTTTGTTCAACATCGATATTTGTACATAACCATTCGAGTATATTACGGGTTTCTAAATTTTCATACGCCCATAATATTTGTTTAGGTTGTAAATTTGATACATTAGGATAGCCTAAGTTTGTTAATAAAGTTATAAATTCGTTTGCGTTTGAAATGTTTGAATATGTGGACATTATTTTTAAGTCAATATTCTATAATGAAGTGAAAATTGTTCAATTAATTGTTTATTTATTTATTTTTAAGCGGCGACAGAAAATAGATCGGGAAATATTACTCGTGTTTTTACGTGTTGTTACAACAATTATTTGAGGTTCACGAATGATGGAGTTAATGATCGACTTTTGGACCGATTTTAGACCGATCTTTAAACAACTCAATTTGATAGTAGCATTATCTTGAAAGTCTAAGCGTCAAAACATGAATCATAATAGATTTATAGATTTTAAACAATTATTTTTAATATTTGTTTATTTGTTAATTAATAAAGTACCACCGAACAAATTGGCTGTATTTTTGTTTGATACATGTTTGATACCACCCGGCAACAAATCATAAATTTATTTTTAGTCATTGTACAACAATAAAAATTGCTTTATTGAAGTTATTAAACCAAAAATAATGTAAAAAATAATAGCTTTAATAAATTTGCTGATGCGATTCAGCTTATCGCCCAAAAAGAGATGTTGGTTATTATAGGTCAACATTATTCTAGCATTTACCATCTAGTATATCCTTAACTCTTCAGGCATAGTATCAAATTTCAATGGTTTATATGATTACGTAAGACTTATTCCAATTGGAATTTAGGTCGGGAGATTTAATAAGGTAATAGAATTATCTCGAAATCACTCTTTAGTTTTTTGGCAGCGTGTTTCTTGATTATATGATCCTTATTAACATTTAATCTCGAAAGTGTGGTTAAAATTAAAAACCCCTAAAATACGACGATAAAAATCTCCATCCATGGTTCCTTCAATTTTAACTAAATTACCAATCCCGTACACCACCAAATTTGACCGTTGGGATAATATGCTGGTCTGTTAAAGGTTCTGTAGACTTTATCCAACATACTGTCGTCCATCAGAATTAATACAAGGGGTTGCTTTCATCAGACAAATAACTTGTCTCCAACCTTTAACAGTCCTATTTTTATATTTTTTAGCCCATTCTAACCGTTTTGTTCTATAGGTTTTTTTTAAATAGGGACTTTTCTTTTAGTTCGTGCAACCAAACCATTTCTCCGGAGATATTCTACGTATGCTTTCAGCTAAAATATTGATTCCTTCATCAGCTCGAACTTAAAACACTTTCCAGAACGAATGTATCGCAAAACTTTCGCTCTTATCGACCAATAATGATTTTCGGACGACCACATTTAGGCCAATCATTAAAACTTCCAGTCATCCAACAATTTAAAGTAAAAATATTTATAATTTATAATTTTTGCTGGGTTATGCTTTTCTTGTGTGAGCAACACAATTGTTGGATAGATAAAGTTCGAAATTAAATTACGTTTATCGATTCTTTCGCTGATCCAATAAAGAATGGTAAAAGAAGTATGATTATAAATGATATCATATTCCGTTATGTAAAAAATCATAGATGCTCTTTTTGTTTAAGGAAATAACATGTTATTTTTAGAATTATTTCTTTTGAAATATTCTTTTTTGGAAACATATCGTAAATTCAGGTATAACGATAGAAAACTAATTTTTGCAAATAATGTTAAAGCAACAATGGTCATGCAATACGATTGCTCTTAAGTGAACATGTATTAGGTATGATTGTGAGATGCAATCCTTAATAAATAAATGCATGAGTTGTATTTTCACCCATCTTCATTTATTCTGGATAAAGAAAGTTCTGCCTAACATTGGAAAATTTTGTTGAAAAAAGGCTTTATTTATTTTCCCATTTAAAGCATGATTCTTGGAGATTTATAAAAAGAAAAAAAAAAAAATAATTTCATTATCGAATTATATTACAATTAGTGTTGAAAATGCTGTAGAATTCCAGAATAGGTTTTCAAATACACAATCTCAATTTTTGAGGGGACGGTAATTTCTTCATTAATTGTTCTAAGCAAAAGGTTGGACTTCATACTTTATAAATTATAATTATTAGTCCGGAGCGTTAGCGAAGGACTATTTACTTTCTATGCATTGTGTCCGTTTGTCCGCCCGCTTATCATTTGAGACGACGAATATCGGCTATTTATAAATACCGTGGTTCATTTTCCTAAAAAAGAAACTGCCCGCAACATAGATTTAATAAATTCTCCCTAAAATGTGATATTTATTTTTATTAGACGTAATGACATATTCAATGATATTGACATAATTAATTCACGTGATCTTAAGCTCCGGACTTCACAACGACGATTTAAAGTAATCATCCTATTTCTAAGTACTTTGTTATCTCATTCGATCCCACAGAATACCGGATACCGAATCGGTCATATGATCGGATCACCGCCAAAACCGATCTTAATAGCCGATCACCCAAATCATAAAACAATAAATATCAAATTAAAAATTTTTTTTCTGGAATTCAATTCTCATTTTATTTAATTTAATTTAAAAATGTTCAAAACTAATTTAACATCCAAATTTGATAACATTATTATAAATCTTTATCGATTTAACACTATTCATGTGAAAAAATTTTCTACACACAATCTTTACCGAGAAAAATGGGAAGCTATTATTGGCTTAGAAATTCACGCTCAAATAAATTCAAAGAAGAAGTTATTTTCTAGTGGGTGGTTTTTATAAACTTTTAACATATCTAGAATAGGTGTACTGATATTTCGTAATTATTGTGATGAAAAATCTAGCAAATTTAATAAAAGTTTGAAAATTTTCAATGGATGAATCAGCATCATCTACTTCCTTTAACGAACCTGTTAATACAAATGTATCAGTGATTGATGCCGCTTTTCCGGGAACAATCCCGGTAATTCTACACGTGAAATTTTATAGAATAACTTATTCAAGAATAAATAAATTAATAAATTATTTTTATTATTATTTTTTTTTTTAATTAAGCGCTTAAATCCTAAATGCATAGAACTTACAGTTGCAACATCTCTAGCGTTATCGGGAAATGTTCAATTGGTTTCATCCTTTGATAGAAAGCATTATTTTTATCCAGATTTACCAGCTGGGTATCAAATAACACAATTTTATGGTAAGAAAGTACAACCATAAATAGATTTGATGATTGACGTCAACAGAATTTAACTTATGTGATGGTTTAAATTAGCTCCAATATCCCTTGGTGGAAAAATAACTGTGTCACCTTTAGATGGACTTGAGTACGAAAAAGACGTTAGAATAAAACAAATTCAAATCGAACAGGTGAAGGAAGTTATTATAGACTATTCGGATTTTTAAGAAATTTGTTAAATTATTTGTTCTATTTATAGGATACGGGAAAAAGTATACATGATTTAAGACCTGGGATGGCGTTAATAGATCTAAACCGCGCGGGAACCGGTCTAATGGAAATTGTGACGGAACCTGACATGAGAACATCAAAAGAAGCAGGTCTCGCTGTTCGTAAATTACAGGCATTATTTCGAGCCATAGGATCTTCGGACGGAAACATGGAAGAAGTTAGTTTTTTTTGATAATTTATTTCTTATTGATTTCAATTTTAGATTAGTTTGAAATTCACATAATTTTTTAATTTAAGGGGTCATTACGATGCGATGTAAATATTTCTGTACATAAGCCCGGAACTCCCTTTGGTACAAGATGTGAAATCAAAAATTTAAATAGCGTTAAATTTCTAATGGCGGCAGTTGGTAATTTCAGTTCTTAAATTTCCTCAATTATTTTGAATTCGTTATTAATATAAAACTATTTTTGATAGATGTAGAAATCGAACGCCAAATTGCTGAATTGAATAAAGGTGGAACCGTCATTCAAGAAACTAGAGGGTATAATGTTGCTACCAACCAGACCTTTAGGTTGAGAACTAAAGAGACTTATAACGATTATCGATACATTCCAGAATCAGATTTACCTCCATTAATAATTACTGAAGTATGTTATCATCTATATTTTTATAGTTTGTTGATTTATTAATGTCTCATAAATTATAAATTAATCATATTTTAGGATTATCTTACACGCATATATAATAGACTACCAGAATTACCCGATGATCGTAAAAGAAGACTGATGAGCCAATATCATATTTTATTGCATGACGTTACAACATTAATGCGTGAAAATGGTGGTGTAGAGTATTTTGAAGAAGTAATGTTGATAGCTTTGTATTTATGGTTAATTATTGTGTAAATTATCATTAATTAATATGGATTTCTTTTAGGTAGCAAAAGATCGTAACTCTCGTAATGTAGTGAATTGGATTACGCATGAATTGTATGGTCTCCTAAATATCAAAAATATCAAATTCGATCACAATCCCGTAACCACGCAACAATTAGGTTCCATAATTGATTCCATTGAGAAGGATGAAATTACAGGTACTGTATTGAATAATTTCAGAAACTTTTTTTTTCTTTCAAAGTTGATGCTGATTCTTTATTTTAATAAAGCTAAAATAGGAAAAAAGGTTCTTGCTCAAATGATTTCAGGGGACAAACGTCTTACTCCTGATATTATACAAGAAAAGGGATGGAAACAAATATCAAATATGGATGAATTAGAAACAATTTGTAAAAATATTATAGCCAAAAATTCCGAACAGGTTGGTTATATATGGATTTCGAATTATTGTTTGATATTCTTTTGTTAAAAAAATTAATGAATTATATAATTTACAGGTGCACCAGTATAAACAGGGTAATAAAAATATATATCAGTGGCTTGTAGGACAAGTAATGAGAGAAACTAAAAGTAAAGCAAGTCCTAAATTGGTGAACGATATATTAAAAAAATATTTAGATTAGTTGTTATACTTTAGATCAATTTGAATCCCAGTTCTGCTTATTTGTAAATAATATTGATGTTAATGTTCATTTTTATTTCAAGATATATTATTAAAGAATATTATTAAAACAGAATTTGCTGGTTATCATCATGATGATGATCATCGCTCACTAATAAACTTGTCTCTCTAAACTAACCCATATATAACGCTGAGCCCGGTGATATATAGTGTGGCAAATATAGAATTGCGACAAACCAAAGCCCTAGAATACTTGGTAACTTCTGGGAGTGCATATATCTTCGAAGATGTTGGCCCATTAAAATATTTTTATGCTTAAATATTATTCATTATATCCATACTACTCATAGACTCAGTTATAGAATTCATAATCATTGAATGTGCCAAACTTTCACCATCGTCTCCACCTCCTAATATTGAATTAATATCAAAGCCACCACCACCTCCACCTCCTAATATTGAACTCATATCAAGACCACCACCATCTCCTGTTATTGAATTCAGATCAATTCCTTCATTAAATTCACCAGCATCACCCGCATCCTACGAGATAACAAAACATTTTGTATTAATAAAATTTTAGATAAATTTTGCTTCTGGCTTCTCAATAATAGACAAATATACTTACATATTCATAACTTTCATCATAAGCAGTATTTTCATAATTCTCTTCATTATTATTATTATTATAGCAATCTTCTTCATTGTAATAATATTCCTGATCATAAGTATCACCATCTTCATATTCTTGATAACTTTTATAATTTTGCTCATAAGCTTCTTGTTCGCCTTCATTTTGTTCATTTTGATTTTGAGTAGCATTATCTTGTGCCGCATCTTGCGCAACATCTTGTGTCTGCTGTTGAGCTTGATTGTTTTGTTTTGCCGGCTTATTAGGATTATTTGTTGGTTTATGTGGTTTTCCAGGTTTACTTGGTTTTTTACCGTGAGCATGTGGTGCATTAGAAGTATTTACTTGTTGTAGAGGTATTTGAGTACGTGATGGACGAACTACTCCAGAGAAAGGGTGAGTTGGACCAGCAGGCCTTTGATGTAATATTTGATTACCTGCTGGTCTTAATAGTTGTTGCAATTGTTTTTGTTGGTTCAGAATAGCAGAAGTTTGAAGTGAGTTATTTAATTGTTGCAATTGGACAGCATTTGCTTGACTTCCTTGTTGAATTGCAATTTGTTGAGGTTGGTTAATCGCATTGTTACCAACAATTACTAAATTTTGATTGTATTGATTTGAAGAGAATAAATTTGAATATGTCTTTGGATCAAGCACCTTTCTTCCAACATCAAACATCGTTTCACAACCTATAAAATAGTCGAAAAATTAGTTAAAAAAAAAAAAATCAAAAATCATACAAGTACTTACTTTTATTAGCGATATTATTTAATGAATTATTATTATTATTTTGTCCAAATTTTGGTTGAATAGCATACAAGTTAACTTGTTGTCCCTGTACATTTATTCCTGTGGTTTGAGGGATGGTATTAATTTGCTGCGTTGTAGCATTATGTTGTTGTCCTGTTAAAATCATTGTATTTTGTGGATTTTGAGATACGACAGCAGGAGCTTTAGATCCAACAACTGCTGATGAATTCACTATGGGATAAGAGTTATTTTGTTTATTTGTTACTACATTATACGCTAACTGATTTCCTACTTGTTGTTGAATTTGCGTAGGTTGTTGATGTTGATTTGATACTACATTATATGCTACTTGAGTTCTTCCTTGTTGAACATAAACCTTCTGTGTAGGTTGCTGTTGTTGATTTGATACAACATTATATGTTATTTGATTTCCTCCTTGCTGAACATAACCCATTTGCGTAGGTTGCTGATGATTTGATGCTCCAATATATGGTACTTGATTTCCTCCTTGTTGAACATAAATCTTTTGTGTAGGTTGCTGTTGTTGATTTGACATTACATTATATGCGACTTGATTTCCTCCTTGCTGAACATAAACCTTTTGTGCGGGCTGTTGAGGTTGAACATATACAACATTTCGTGCTTGCCCGCCGATGGTTTGAATAGTTTGCGGTTGATACGTTACATTTTGTTGTGTATAAACACCATTAGCATGATAAGTTACTGGCTTATGTGGAGCAACAATATTATTTTTTTGAGGAGGAGAATATGGTTGTTCTAAGAGAGACGAGGTGCAATGTTGAGATGCCGAAATTAAACCTTCTGCTTGTTGAGGAGATGATTGAGAAGGTAGATTAGCATTATTCAAATAAGAGACCGCAGGAGTTGAACGATTTGCTGTATTCAAAGGGTTTGGAAGCGTATTTGACTGATACGGAACGGATTGTGGCGTCGATGATTGTTGGGAAAGTACGGGAGTATGACCCGGTTTTGGTAAAGAAAAATGATTTCGTGGTGTTGGAGTCGGATACAGTGGCAAACGAGGGTCATGCTATTAAAAAAAAGTTATTTGCATTTAATTGGTTTTACTAAATTTTCTTTAGGGTGCAATGAAAAGAGAGAGAATGTTACTCACGGTTGTTTTCTCGTTTGTAATTATGTTAACATCTGTGTTATTAAAGTGATAATTGTTTGCTTGCTTAAATGTTTCGTTTTCTTTTAGATTTTAGATGAAATAAATTTTTGAATTAAACGATATTAACTTACAATAAGATTGTTTTGTTTGATTATCAATCTAAAGTTCATTTCAAAAGAAGGGTGGGGAATGAAAAAAAAAACGGATTCATTTAAATAATCAGGGAATCATGAGAAAATCAATCATTTCAGGAAAACAAACCCGTTGTTCCCATCCTTGTGGTAAATCACTGGCCATGGACACAAAAAAATTATTTTTTTTTAGAGGATTTCTATGATATTATGAAAAAATATATATATATATATGTATGTGGTTATTTTTTTCCTATTTATTCTCTTCTATTTTTGGAAAATCATTCGAATTCTTTGGTAAAATTAGAAGCAAATTACAAATCATCCTAATTGTCTTTTTCAAAAAATCATTTATTCATGGTTTTTTTTTTTGTATCATTCATTTTACTAGGTTTCAAAATTTTTCATTAATTGGGATTGGATTTGTAATATTATTTGTGAAATCATCCACATCTCGTAACACGCGAGGTATTGCTGCGGCCCCATCAATAATGATGCACGTCATTTTTTTACCAGGTCCAATAAAACTTTCGAATGAACGAACCACCAAGTTTGGATACCCGAAATGAAATAAATGAAATACACAATAATGATGCAAATAAAGTTTACGTGATGATTACAATTACATTCAATGGATTACATAATTTTAAATAATTTGTTTCTAATTACTGCCATTTTACTAACAATATGCTCTTTCTAAGAGATTATTTTCATAACATCTATGAGCATAAACAAAAAAAATCATACGATTCTTTTTAAGCATGAACTTTTCTTAAAGAAAAAGAAAAAAAGTAAAAACGAAAATGAAATATGAAAGGGACAAATCAAATTATTCATTCATTGTATTCTTTCTTAAAAAAATATATATAAATAATCCTCTTTTTTATTTTTTAGAAAAAAAAAAAATATGATACGAACTTTCTTTTTCATTCCTTTTTTTTTTTGCTGCTTTATTTTTTATAAAATTATCTCTTTATTTTATTTATTTATCGGAAGGCATTTATGAATGCAAGGGCAAAAAGAATTTTATTTACATGTTTACGAGGAAATGAAAATTGGAAATTAAGAAAAAAAGTCTATTATTTCCATTATACTGACTTTTTTGTTATCCAAATAAATCCTTAGCAATTGAACTAATTCGTTATGACTCTTAGTATCGAAAGCAATGCAATGTTAATTGCGAACTTAGCAGTTGAAAATGCATTTAGGAAAAAATATCAGAATGTTGAACGATATATATAATATCACGATTTTTATTAGAATAAATATCAATAGATTTTGGGGTCCCAAAATACAAAGTATTATTTGTTTTAGATCAAGATAGATAATACAATAATACTTTCAGAACAAAATATCTCCACCAATGAAAACATAATGATAATAAGATTTAAAAATTAATTGATAATCAGCGGATATATTTTATTATTCAAAAAAATATATATCCGCAAGTAAAAGAGTATAATTTTTCGTTACAAAAACAAGCAATATTTGATATTCAGATTCTTCTATTATGCTAATTTGATTATTTTTTAATTTAAAGGTAGGATAAAACAAAATATTGTGGAAGAAATTTTTTATTGACTAAATGTCTAGGCATAATGATTATACATAGAATTATCATAATCCATGTGTTCACGAATTCACGAAAGAATGAATCTATCATTATGCCTCAAAAATTATTCTGTATTTCATTTCAGCAAGCATATTATTCAAAAAAAAAAAAACTTTTGATAGTTAGAATCAACTCGAATAAGCAAAAGCCATCAAAAGTTTTTTTTTTTTTAAAAAAAAAAGATCGCTTTCTTGAAGTTACAGAACCCACAGAAACTATTATAGATGTTACCGAAATAATAGCTGTGGTCGATATAAAAATGATTTATCTTTAACATTGAAATGAGATATTCGAGTGGTATCTTTCGGATTATTGATATTAATGGACATTATAGTAAACTTGTAAATGAATGTCCCCTAGATCCAAAACGTATGAATTGATCAATATTGATATTAGATTTAAGAGACATTTTACGTTTGGATTACCAAATTGTCCAAGAATGGGCTTCGTGTAATTTGCACCTAAGGTTTCCACCACGCTCAATTATAGGATACAATTTGTGACAATTATAATTTAGAGGTTTACGTTTATCGGTAAGTAAGCATTATGACAAGTTATGAACTTCTTATACAGATCATAAGAATTAAGAGATATTTAGCAGTATAGCAATAATTGAACCAAAAATGTGCAAGTTCTTTTATATTACTGGTATTTAGAATAGCAGTAAAGGAAAGTTATAATTGAGATCAATTTTTACCAGAGGTTCAAGAAAGTCAAGTCGTTAAATGACATATTTTTCAGAAATAATTAGTATATTTATATTTCTGATTATTTTCTGATAGGTATTGGATGAATTAAACTAACTATTCTTTATATTAATTATATTAATTAAAATTTATATGACTTTAATCAATATTTCAACCAAAATTCTGGTAATTGATCAATTTCATATTTCAATTTGGTTATATAATAATTAAAACAGAAAAACATTGTAACCTAAAAGAAAGGAAAGTTAGCTTCACATTTACATGGAAAAATGATTTGACATAAAAAATTTTAAATGAATATGGATTTATGTAAATGCTGTTCCTGAATCTGCAAGAAGTTCAAAGTTACGTTGAAAGGTAAGGAACCGGTTAAAGTAGAGATTACGATCCTACCTCTATACCAAGGGCATCTACCGGTCATGAAAGAACTAAATCTGCGGTAAAGTAAATTAATGAAAGCGTAGCTAACCATGAGAATCTTTATATTTTATCATTTCTAACGTGCCCTCTTCTTTTTTGACGAATACATTTACCATCAGATGAAAGATTTGCCGTCTTGTATTAGAACCTTGAATGTATAGCAAGTAAGCAGCTTCTTAAACACCAAACATTAGGTTAAGACGATCTCTTGATACATGGAAAACCAATTACTAAAAATTAGTTTTGGATTCAACCTTGCCACCAACTCATCTAATTCTTGCTGCTTCTTTTTCTAGATAACCTGTTGGAAGTATGTTCGTTCCCCCGAAAACGAGACTTAGTGGTATATAGAATAAGCCGTAGAAGCAACTAAGTAAACCCAATTATGATAACTTTTCTAGAGAGCTTACCCTTCTAATATACCATTAAGCCTTTGTATTCTTCATTGCTTTCAAAAAAGACTAGGAATAAAAAGACTTTAGGAATCGAAAGATTGCTACACATAAGTTATAAGCTGCAGCTGTGCTTAAAAAGATATCATGGGCATGCGGCAACGATGCATATTTTTACTGAATTAAGGACAAGGTAATAATTTTAATATTAAATTTCTCTCACTGTTTCACAACATGCAATTTGTTGGGCAACCATAGGAATGAATTCAAGTGGAAATATTTTTTTGCATAAGCCACCACTCTTCAGGTCATGTTTACTAAAATAATGATGAAAATCCTTAAATTACTAAATTTTGATGATGATATTTGTTTTGTTTCAAAAAAAAGAACGAGAAAAGAACTAAAGAACTTTCCCCATTGTACTCACTCCTGTATGGTAGCGATCATGGCGTAAAATTTTCCGGTTTACTTCAAAATTTTCGCCGAATATAAAAATATATATATTTTTTATTTTTATTTTTATTTTTTTTTTAAAAAAAAAAAAAGCCCAGTTTAAAAAAATTTTTTTCCTTTATTCGTTTCTAGTCTAATTAATATTAATCAAAAAAAAAAAATTTTTTTTTTTTTTTATTATAGAATTGCATGGTCTGAATGATGCAAAGCAAAACACTCAAATATCACCTTCTTTTTTATCAAGGTAAATAAAATGTAACTTTTCCTCTTTTTTTAATTACGCACAGATTACAAATGGATTACGGCGCACATTGATTACATTACACAAGTAAAAGTTGGCTCTAGAACTACCTAATATTACAATAATCTTTAAAGCGGCGGTCTTATATTTTATATATATTTATATATATTTAATTTAGTTTTTAAGACCAAATAAATCCAGGCTTATATAAGATTATTTAATGTTTTTTTCTACCTTTTGGAAGTGGAAACGATTCAATAATCAGTATTATTAGGTAATTATTATAATTATTATATTATTTATTTGTTTTAATATAAATGGGATCACCTGTTTGTGTTACAACGATAAGAATCGAAAGACAGACAGACATCTTTGCTTTATTATCTAATTTTTTTATAATGGATGGGGTACGATTACTAATTATACGTGATATTTTATAATCCTCTTGATATATTTTGTTCGGGTTTTATAATGTCCGAGAAGAGAAGGTTACAATTACCATGTTTGTAAGAAAACACGGAAAAATTGATATTATGATAAGGATCTGAACGAATAATAATGTTTCAATATACACATCAAAGGAAAGTTTCAAATCGGTATGAATGAGTACAATGTTTATAGACAAAGAATTGCCAAGAAATTTGCTTAACAATAATAATAATTTATTTAAGAACAAAAAAAAAAAGATCTCAGTTCAAACTAAAATGGTATACAACATATCGCTTCAATCACTAAAATACAATACAAACTATTCATTTAAAGTATTTATTTATTATTGTAAACATCTCATTCGAACGGAAATAAGAATATCAAGGAAAAAAATTTTAATTGGATCCCTTATTTCTTTATTCTGAATAATTCTTTGCTTCCTAATTGAACCAAGTTGCTAGTCGTTATGGGTTCGTATGACAGCGTAACGTTAAATGATATATAAAGATTGCTTGTCGACTGGTTTATTATCATTCATCAAAAATCTTCTCTTTATAAAATTAATAAAAATAAAAAAATAATAATGTCTTATTCCGTGCAATACATTCCTCGGCAATATTGTGATTTTAATCATGAAAACCTTACTGACAAATACTCAACTATTGTTAACAAGGTCATTTCAAAATATATCGACTACGATACAATGCTCAAGATCGAAAAGAACACGGTTCTTTCACTTTATGATCTATTAACTCCAATTGAGAATAATCGCACTTTGAAGGTGCCAAGACCTCAGAACAGTTTTGTCATCTATCGAAGAAATTTACAAGCTAAAATGGCGATATCTCAAACAACGTGCCTTGAAAGGCTAGATAAAGTTTCAAAAATCGCTGGCACAAATTGGAAGGTCGAGCCAAAGGAAGTTCGAGACCTTTTTACGCTCATCGCCGATTGTGCAAAGAAAGTTCATAGTCGTATTTATCCCGGTTACGTTTATAATCCGAAGAGAAGTTGTTGTACTAAAGCGTCAATGACGCCCGCAAACTATCGTGCTTTATATAACCTTCGTTGGAAAAATCTAAAGCTTTCGTCGCCTTTTCCACAAAACTACCAAAATGAGATGATTCCTTCATCTCAAAATTTGGTTATGCCACATTTTGAAAGTATTTTACCTAAAAAACCTTTTACACCTCTTGAAATCACGCCAAACTTTATGAATTCATACGATAATGACGTTCGCAAAGTTCTTAACAAAAATATGCAAGACTTTTTTCATTAAAGTAACTAAAACATTTATATCTACATAATACGAATTACCCTAAATTATTTTCTTATAAGATTTTAAGATGTAATTATTTTGTTTGCTTTTTGTTTGTTTTTTATGATTTACAATTGATGATATTTAAATATTTAGACATTTACAAAAATTTATTTATGTTATTAATAATTATTCAATTTTTTATTTGTGTGTTATTATTATATGAATATTAACTATCCCTAAGTTCTTGTAAATTTTTTTCTTTCCCTTTTCAAAAATGTTAAAATTTTAATAAATAAAAACAATATAAACGATTTTTAGTATAAAATTATGCGTAATTTTTTATTAAAAATAAAATTGAATTGCGCTAATTGACGATTATAGTAAAAAAAAAACCGTAACAGTAATTTAATTCGGAGAATTAATTTTTTAAATTGACATCATGTGATTTATAATTTTTTACCCCAAACAACGTTAAAGGATTTTAATAATGATATTTTAATATAAAAATTGTAATACATAATGTTTATTGTAGAACTTACTTCGAGTTATAAGTCCTATTCACTTATTACAATCTTGTACAATCGTGATTTTTGCAAATTTTTTATTTTTTATGTAACACGAGATTTAAAATTTGATGCTACACGAACTTTCATTTGTTGATCACGCGGCGGGACAGAACGACATTGCATTTAAAATTAAACGGTCTAGAAGTTAATTGTCCTCCGTTACGCTTCGGACAATAATTTAATATAATAGCAAAATTAGTTAAGTTTATACATGTATATTGTAGACAAACATAAGAATACATAATAACAAAATTATAATATTTATTTTAATTTTGAAATAGATTACATTAGAATAAATAATATTATAATCACGTAATAAAAATATGTGTCTTTATGTACAAAGTAATTGGTAACTATATTTTTTTAAGTATTATTATTTAAATAATTATGAAATATCATTATAAGGGTGATCGGCTATTAAAATCACCTTACTGGATCATATGTTTCGTAAGGTGATTTTAATAGCCGATCACCCATAAACATATTTTTAAAACCAGATTTAATGAAATTTAAATCTTATAAAGTATTATATAAAAAACTTAATTTTATAAATGTTTTTAATAAATTTTATAAATTATAAAACTAAGATCAAAATTTAGAATTTAATTTAATTAAACTTGTGAAATCTATAAATAATATTTTTATTATTTATTTTGAATCATTATTAAATATAATATTTAAAAATACTACAAAAATGGTTTTGTCTTAACAAAACTAATTTGTTAGTTTTTAATATTATCAAACTAGTTTGGCTATTTATTAAACTAATTTCAGCAAGTCAAAATTACAAAATTTTAGTCTCATATTATAAAAATATTTATAATAATTTAAGTAAAATTTTAAAACTTTTTTAATAAATTATATTTTTATAAAAGTTGACATTATATTATTTGTATTATTTTTATGTTATTAAAAATATCTAAAATTATATATATTACTAATAAGAATAACATCCTTTTAAAGCCTATTTTAATAACTTAAAAATTTAAAACTTTTAAAATAATTTTTTTTTTCAATTTAAAATCTAATTTATTAAATTTAGAAAACCCTATTAAAAAAGTTTAAATAAAGATATTTAATAAAAAGTTTAATCAACAATCAAAAATTGCTTAAAATAGTTTAGACATACATTTTTAATTACTGATATTTAAATATTTAAAATATTATTTATTGGAAATATTTATTATGTATACTAAAGATGAAAACTGTAATTAATATGTTGCAACTTTTAATGTTGCAACTTACGTTGCAATTAGTTTTAACCTATATATGTTATAACTTATAATGTTGCAACATATGTTGCAACTAATTTTAGCTTATGTTGCAACATTTTGTAAATTTGAAATCAATTGCTGTACCATCTTTAATGTATACTATGCGATATGTATATATCATATATAATATGACTAATTTAATAAATCAACCTTAACTTACACTAACCCTAATCACAAATCATAATAAACTAACCTTAATTTACCTAATACTAATATCAGATTACAAGTTAATAGTAATATTTATGAATAACGAGTGACAAATAGGATTTTACATCCTAAAAAACTAAGTTTTTAGATTAAATAGTAAAAACTGAAATATGATAAGTATGTCAATATGACAGTAGTGATACTTGTCTAAACTCTTTTTTGAAAAATTGTAATTTCATCAAAAGATTTTGTTTCTTTAATATTTTTATATGAATAAATATAATTATATTTTTTAATGTATTTTAATTTAAGGAATTTAGATCAATTTAAATATAATTTGAAACAATTAAGTAAAATAATTTTATAATTAATAAAAAACTAATTTCATCATTTCAGTTTTATCAATTTTGTTATATTAAGAAAGGTAATTTCATCAGGTATCACTATATAATAGTTTATTATATAAGTCTAGATACATATAGTGCACAGGTGTATCAAATAAATATTTTCTTATTTATTTATTAAAAAAGTTATAAAATCAAAAATTAATATTATAGTTAAAGCTTTATTTCAAATAATAAATATATAGGAGCTTTGCAATAGAAAGGGAGGAAACTCTAAAAAAATTAAAATTTTACTTTCTAAGCTAATTATGATTTTTTTTGTAAAATAAAAGTTCAGATTTAATATTAACTCAAAAAAAAATTTTTTAGAGTTTTCTCCCTTTTTATTGCAAAGCTCCCATATGATGAATTTTTATAATATGGGAGGTTTTAATAAAATTTTAGATTAAAATGCAATAAAAATTTAATTTTAGTCAAAAATTCTTAGAATCCTATTTATTTAGAATATCTGCTAAATATTTTAATTAAAAATTAGATAAAAATTGTAGTAATTATATATTAAAATTAATGAATATTAAAACTAAATTTAAATAAGTAATTTTATAATAGTTATAAATTTTACATTTTTAAAATTAAATAATAATTAAAAAATTTTTTTAACCTTTAACCTTTTACTTTTATAACTTTATTAAAAAATGTAACATTTTATTATGAAGATTTTACACAAAATCAATGCTTTATATATAGTAAATCTTGAGTTTTAATAAAATAGTTTGATTTAAAATGAAATTTCAATGAGTATAAACTGGGTTTGTTTTTTATTTTGTATCACCAAATTAAACCAATTATATTAGTTCGAAAAATTTGTCATTTTTATATGTAGTTAAATTTTTTTTAGAAAAAAAAAAGACGCGAAACAAGTACTTCTCAAAAATTTTTCATTTATTTTTTATTGATTTCCTTTGACAGACACAATAAATTTTGAGCCAAAGTTTCGGGTATTGTCGCACAAAGAACTAGTAAGATCGGTAAGTTCTTTTAAATAATTGGGAAAACTTAATTGGATGAATTAGAGGGTATCAGATTGACAAACAATTAGATATAAGAACTATTTCTGCCACCATCGAAAATGTTACGGATCATCATTCTCGTGACTCGATGCGTCTAATCGTGAAAAACAAAGAAATAAAAATACTTATTTATTTACAGAATATCGAGAGGGTCTAACTCTATCGAAACGACAAGAGCGATCTTTCTCGAACTTTTATTTGTGAATAATATAGTTTAACAAAATTTCATAATAAACAAAATAAATCAACCAAACAAAATTTATTTATTGTATATTATTAAAAACCTTTATGTTACAATGAACTTTTCTTATGAATAAGTCTTTAAAACAATACGACATGCAAGTAATCTATCTATTCAATGGGTTGTGTTTTATAATTGTAATGTGTTAATTTCTAAATACAGGCAAAATGATCTTATGGTATTCATACGAAAGTAAATTTTGGGAAATTTCTCGATGCGGAGTATGATACCGGTAATACATTTGTATAACTACCAGATTATTAGCAATGTTATTGCTATATTGCTATATACAGTATATAATAAGTAATTTAAATGTTTCAAATAAATCTTTAAATTCTTTATTCAGCTTTATCAGTTTTTATTCAATTTCCTATTCTTTGACCAAAGTCTTTTTGGGAAAACACAAAGGTTTACATGCTTCAAAATCCATTTGAACCAACATAAATTAATTAACGAATCATAAAATTAAAAAATGACCCTAGCACGACAAACATAATTTGTGTAAATTGCGCTTTGAACATTTCCTTTTATCTAATTGATACCTAGCTTTCGAAATATAATCGCGCATATCAATAAATAAAAAATTTATTTATAGAATATGCATCACAAATTTTTTTATTCTTTTTACTATTATCAAGACTCGGGATAATTTTATCCTAAATATATGAACTCTTTCATAAATTACTTTTTGAAAAGGGCATTTAGCTAAACAATGGTTAGACTAAATGTATAATTATGTGGTGCATTAAAGGCTGTATTCCACAAATTGTCAAATTGTGCAAATCGAATAAATACTTTTTTTTTATAATACAGAAAATCAATCCTATAAATGTATAAATTTTTACTTATATCTTAAAAAGTAGATATTTAAAAGTAAATGCATCTCTCTTTTTTTTTTTTCATTTTGTTAACCGTTTTTTTCCCCCATTTCCTCTGTCCGCAATCCGCATTTCTGGTTAATTTAATTATATTGGAGGAAAAATATTTACAATTCTAGCGTAGTAAGATTAGTAGCAACAATCCAACCTTCACGATTTATCCATAAAGATGATAGTTATTTTGAGCGCAACAAAATAAAAATTAAAAAAAAATTAAATAAATAAACGTTATTGAGATTAGACTTTCTTTCCTTCAACCATTTAAGGTTTTTTATTTAAAAAACATTATCATGACAAGTTTGAATCATCATGGAAGAATCATCGTAGCTAATTTAATTATTTTAATTCTTGGATTACCTTACGCAGTAGAGGCACTTTCTTTGCGCATCAATAATAATAATTTAAATTGGAGTTTACTTGTAAACCATATTAATGATCGTAATAAATTAATTTATAATAATGATAATAATAAAGTACAATTTCAACAAGAAGATAATGTCGAAATATATCCCGTGGATATCCATCAACATACATTACCTTTCGATTCACGAAACGGATACCTAGTCGTCATAATTTCTTCTTATATAGCCTTATACTTGAACTTTGTAGGAACTAGTTATGTCCTGTACAGGAGTTATTACAGGCGAAGAAGTAGTGGTGTCTCCTTGCCTATGACTTTGAGAGTTCCAATGTACATCGCCATAACCGATCTCTTTCTAATCTTGACACATGTCGTGAACATCTCACATATGGCAATAACCCAAACCCTATGGGAGGATTCGTCCTGCAAGATAATTGGTGGGTTGAACAACTTTTTTCAATGTATGAACATGTTCTTGGTGGGGGGAGTGGCGGTCACGACATTTCTTCGTGTAAAGCGAGGACGTTTCTTCAGTTTAGGAAAATTTGATTACAAATTGTTCACCGGGATGATATCTTTATCTTCGTTAATTACCATCATATTTTACAAATCGTATGGACCAAATAATTACTGGTGTGGGGGAGAATTTTCCGATAAAATCCTGGCGATATCCTCATTATGTATCATTAGCGTGGTGATGTTGGTTAGTTTATATTGTTATATAAGCATCATACGTGAGATGAGATCCATCAAAATCGAAGAATGCTTCGAAAATGCAAACATGCCTGAAGAAATTTCGATTCAACGTAAAAAAAAGAACAAGCGCATTTACAGTAAAATTTCAAGTTACATATTGATCTTCATCATACAATACGTTCCTGTCACCATCTATAACATAGGACACATAATACATGTCAAAAAATATTGGGTTTACGTCGTTTGTGATATTGGAATTAATTTCGGAGGTATAGGAAATTTCATACAGGTAGATTAGTTTCTGAGAAAATGAAAAAAAAAATTCACACTTTTCAACGCTAACTTTATTTGTAAATTGTAGTACACGATCAATGAAGGGTGGAGTGATGATGTAAGAGGGGATTCGGGTGACGCATATGGATTAAATCCGACAAATTTTCGATTCTCTTACTCGGGCAGTCGACAATCCTCTGTTAACAATGATAGTTCCACAAATTCAAATTTTGATGGTGTAGTTGATTCTTTTGGAATTATACGTCCCTCACCTCCGAAGAACAAATGAATTAAAAATAAGTCAAGGTCTTGAATTGTAATATTTCTAAAAAAGAGTGATTTGATTATCCTTCACTTTGTAAATGTGTAAAAAAAAAGGGAAAACAAAAAAAAAAATCCTCGGAGAATGAATATTACTATAGAATTGATAGAAGGCGCGAATTGAATTATTTAAATCGCACGAAAAAAAAATTATATATTTATCATCACTTTCTTCTTTCAAAGCCAACACGACTTTTTTTATCAAATTTACGATGTGAAAAATCGGTATATATGCACAGCGCACACACGCTATCATGCAATATAAGTTGAAAAATTTTAGGTAATTTTTTCTTAAAAAATATATATAAAAATATATAATGGAAAGATTCTCTTATGAACACCTCTTCGAGCATTAAAAATATATAATCTTTTACTTCTTTTCATCATCCTTGTCTTCCTTTTTCTCGACATCAATTCTCTCTGAACCTTTATTAGCTAGAGCTTTCAAATCAATATTTTTCCCTACATTTTCATGATTAAACGGACAATGTCTACATTTATTCCCGCAACAGTAACCTCTTGATTTATGAAATAATTCTGTCATTACCATATAACCGGTCACAGGATCGGTGTAAAATTGTTGATCATTCTTTTTATGAGAATGAGTAGACGAGAATGGATAATAATCGGAACATATGTATAAATAATAATAGAAATAATAATAATAAAAACCAATAATTTAATGAATTTTTTTTACCTCTTTTTTTAAAAAATAAAACAATAATCAATAACTGTTTATATTGTTACCTGAATTGCGATTTTATGCGCTTCATACCATTCCGGTTTATCTTCAATATCATTTTGCTCTAAAGGTTTGGATTCTCCGTTTTCATTACTTTTAGGAACCTCTTCCATTTTATCTTTGCAAGGTTTTGTAGAATAATAATTAAAGAACGTTAAACCCAATAAATATTTCTGTTCTTTTTGTAATAATAATCTGGAAAGTAATAATCTGGAAAGAAACATTGAAAAAAGATCAACGAACAATAAAATAAATAAATTTATTTATTATCAACAGTGGGGTTTTTATTTATAGAGTGAAAATCGGGTTCGACGATATCGGGTTTAGTTTGTAGCGCAGGAAGGATCGTCAAATTGTACGGCTTTACATTATCGCGTAAAAAAGCTATTTATTTCATGCATGGGATAATCACAAACCAACGAATGAGCATTTTGACATAAATTTGTCTCGCACAAGAGCTGCATGATAATATAAAGAAAGGTATTTGATAGTTTTTGTTTGTTTAATTCGAAAATGATTGGTTATAACGAATATCAAAAAAAAAAAAAAAAAAAAGATATTCAATGTTTACATACATGTATTTACATTCAATAATAAATAATGAAAAAAAAAAAAAATGATAATTTTTTTTTTAATAAAACGAACGCAAAAAAGGAAATTAACAAATACTAGTTATAATAATAAATGAAAAAAAAAAATGATAATTTTTTGTTTATTGAATCTATTATGAAGAGTGAGAGAGAAAAGAAAAATTTTGTTTTTGTGATCATCCTAAATACGAGCAGATACGGAAGGCAAATAAATTGTACTATTAACCACCATTTGAACATTCTCTCTTAATCTTTGAAAAGCATATTCAAAATGAGCTCTCATGACTATATTCCTTTGTTCCTCAAGAGTAAGGACGTGATCATCATTTTCGAGTAAAGTGCAGTCTTGTTCCAAGATTTCAATGTCGTGGGGTGTTGCGTTAACCAATTCTTGAAGGGATACTTCGAAACGTTCACGTAATGCTTCAAGTTGAGTTGGGAACAAACGATGTTTATACAACCCAATTAAACCGGAAAGGATATTTTCACGATAATTTAAAAAGTCGGTGGCATTTCTTGACTTGTAAGCGGCGATGTATTCTTCGCGAGATAAAATGTTATTGGTGATAAATGAAGACATTTTTTTTTTTGATTGAAATAGATTGGGTATTTGATTTGGAATTAAATTTTTTTTTTCAAAAAAAAGAAGAAAGATTAGATGTTTTTTGATACTTTTGATTTGATTTTTTTAGTTTCTTGTAATCTTTCTTTTTTTTGGATAGAGAAAAAGGGTGAAATTTTGGACGTGCTTTTTATACCTTTACAAACCAAATCAACGACACCAAAATTTAACTTATAAGGGAGGTTAATAAATTTTTGTAACTCCGAGAACAATCCACTATCTATGGATTAAAATGTTTTTATTTTAGGTTACAAAAAAAATGTCTTGCTTGCAGCGACTAACCAAATGGTTATTATGTGGAGCCCAAAGGGCAATCAAAAATAGACAATTTAAAATTTTTAACTTTCGCACGAATTGATATTTTTTTATTTATTTATTTTATCAGCCATTTACCGATAAGAGTCTAAAAAAGGGTTGATGAGTCATTACTATCGTAAAACGCGTGTTATTAAAAATAACGAAACATTTCCATTTTTGTTTAAAAATAAAAAAAAAGGACGTAAAAAGCAAATTTTTCCCACACTGGAATGCAAGCCTTCAATATGGAACCATTCATTAATCGCATTCAATGAAACACTATCAATAAACTTCATTTATTTTTGTATTATTTGTGTTTCTCTTGAGTTACAGCCCCGTCATTCGTATCTATTTATCTATTTGTCGCGTCAATGCATATCATAAAATATCTCGTCTTAGAATACGACCGTTAATAAGATGTGACGTCTAATGTATGTGATATGATGCCCAATTAAACGTCAATGATGTAACACTGCAATATTTGCAATTTCCAACGTTGGGGTTTCACGACATGCAAAAGAATTTTCAATTTTGTAGTTAGTCCTAAAAAAAAAATTGAAATCCTTTCTTTGTTGAAAAAAAACATTTTTTTTTATGATGAATTTTTTTTAAAACATATTTTACAATGAATAACCAAATCATTGATTCTTTCGAACAATCTCATGCATTTAACATTTTGAGTAAGCAATTCTGGACAAAAAATAATTATTTCTTTTTAATAAATTTTAATTGTTCATGGTAAACAAAAAAAATAACAGGGTTTTTTGAACTTTGACAAATCTTTTTACTTAAAAAAAAAGCCACCTTATGATTGTCATATCAAGGGGCACAGGCCCTGGACCCATTAACAGATTAACCCTGTATGGATAAATAAACTTTTTTCTAAATTTACCGAAATTTTTTAAAAAGACATATACTTCCCCCCCTTTTTGGGGGAGGAGGGGCTTGCTCAGATTGCCAAAATCGGGAAACAATCAATGATCTCAATATTTACATATTTACTAGACTAGTCGTTTAAATCTCTTTTTTTTTTTTGACGCAAAAAAAACACCCACTGGTGTTGAAAATTTGATTTGATCAACCGAGTTGCCCAAAAAAATTTTTTTCAAAAAAGAGATATTTTAATTAAAAAAAAAAAAATCTTTCATCGAACATCAAATAAATTTCTCATGCGATAAACCGAATCGATTTGTATCATGATTACCAATTTAAGTCCCAATCGACCAATGTTTATTATTCAAACAATACGTTTTCTTTTTTTCCTTTACCTTTCACGTTCATATTTCATATTTTTCGTGGGAAATCAATAATACTTGAAATCAAGTTATGCCAAATTAAATCATCTCGTAACCTGACGTAATCATCCCTTTTTTTGGCACGGATTTCAGGAACCCGTGTCACAGAGTTTAAATCCCAACCAAAGTTAGAATTTTTTTTATTTTGTACTCGAAAAACTAGATTATCTGCAAAATTGTGTAAATTGCACACATTATCATACGATTCCTCAAAAACACATGACTGTTACACGGAGTTAATTCTTTTTCCTTCAAATCGCACCAATCTGATTGTGAAATTTTTTTAAAAATTCAAGATCGTTAAAAGCTCCCTTCCCTCTTTCGACGACGACAATTTTTTTTTTATCCGATGCGCATGATGCATGTTTTAATTCTGATTGTTTATTCTCTCCAGTGTTTGGGTGTTTAAGGAAAAAGAAAGAAAAAAAAAGAGACTAGTCTTTTTATTTAATATGATTACACCAATTTAATTATAGAACTATTGATTATAATAACACTGCATTTTTATGGTTTCACTTTACTTGATACTGAACTTTACGGAAACACTTTATGTTGCAAAATTCATTAAAATTTATCCTCACGGTTAAAGCTGAAATTTTAGTTACAAAAAATACAACTTAATCATTTCAAGTGCTTCCCGGGCATCAGAGAAAAGAAAGTAATTGAACTTCGATCGACAAGAACATGTAAACAAACGGACCCTTGCATGGCATGGATTAAAATCTTTATTTGTAAAAAGTAGTGATTTACCAAAAATTTATTGCCTCAAAGCAAACTTGGCGTAATCAATAGAATTTAGGTGTGTAATTACGGAATTAATTTTACCCTTTAAAAAACAATTTTCAAAACGAACCCTTGAGAAGAAAATTTTTATTAATATGCGACAATTTGATTGGTCGAGCTTTGACGTGATTGACTGACATTGTTTGAGAAGACGAATGGTTCAAACGGAAATTTATGTTCTCAGAAATTCTTTTTTGACAAGCCATTGATGGCGAAATATCACATTTATTTCATGCAATCCGTGCACTAATTAATTTATTTTTATTTTTTCTAATTTCCTTGATTGGATAATTATAATTATTCTTTATTAAAATTATTATTATTATAATACAAAAATAAATAGGTAAAACCGATCTAAAAACAAAAATAGTTTCAACAACCTTTTCTGGCATAATATCTGTGCAGATTATTAAAACTTTTATTCTTTTCAAGTTCCTCGCTTATGCTATCAACAATTTCATCATATTCTTTTTGAGTAACCCCCAATGTGGGCATTAACATGGGAGAGATGGCATGATAAAATGATATGAAAATTTCTTTGGAAATCCTTCCCGCCATATTTATTGAATCCGTTGAATCCATCTTCTCATAGTAAAGTAATTTACAAGTTTCTTTATGAAGTTCCGTCAATCGATCCGATGAGCATGTCCGTAAATAATTATCCAGATGATTAGTTATTTCGAAATTTAAGTTATTTAACCTGCCATGATTGATAACTAAATGGGGCAAGCATATAACAATTAATAAAGCACATCAAAACAAAATGGTTTATTAAAGATTATTATTAATAATACTTACATGCATCATGTAAAGGTTTTAATTTTGTTGGCATATTTATGACTTCTGGTGCGATTTCCATGAATTCTACCCAGCCATCTTTTTTGGTCACGCGCATCATCTCAGGTATCACCTTTTCTTTCCATTGAGCTTCGGTAAAGCACACGGAACAATTTTGCATATAAACGAAGTCAAATTCATTATCTTTAAAAGGTAATCCATCGAGAAGGTTTGCTTGTATGAAACTTATGTTATGAGGCATTATCTCGGATGGAAAGGTCGCGATCATATCAAAACCTATAAATCGGGACTGACTATATTCCGCAGCCATGTCCAATAACCAAGTTCCCGGTCCGCAACTATTAATTTTTCATTTTTTTTTTATTTAGTGTCTTGCTTTCAAAGTAAATTGAGATGAAACAGAGTTCAATTAATTATTATATTTGATAATTACCCCACATCCAACACTCTACATCCATTCTCTAACATCTGTTTAACGGGCGAACTAAAATTTTCTTGCCAAACGTGGCGAAACAAAAAATGTTGGATTTGCAATCGATCGCATTCTTCGTCATCTACAGGCAACGCATAAGCCGAACCGTCAATGTCAAAGTATTTGCGACCATTTATAAATCTGTAAGATCCTTTGTTATTGCAAATGTTGTTTTTATTATGTTTGTTATTAATGGCAGAGACGGTAGCGGAAGGTGATTTTGAAGAACGTTTTCTCTCCTTACGAGGTTTTGCAA